CTGTATTCTTGTCTGGAAAAGTCACTTACTTGAAAATTGCCCCAAGTGGCACAGCGGTATGTCTGCGAACTTACAACGCTAGAATTCGAGTTTCGATACCCGTGGTGGGCAGAGCACAGATAGCCCATTGTGTAGCTTTGTGCTTGATTAAAAACAAACAATACTTGAAAATTCGTTGAAATAGTGAAAAGTTGATTCACTCCATAAACACGTATATAGCGATTTAGGCGGATTTAAAAGTATAATATGCTTTAGTTTTGCTCAGCCAGTACTGTGAAAAAGCCATTGTTAATATTACGACATTTTAAAGGTGATTTTAAACGGGCGATTTTTATAGTCGCCATTTTGTTTCATGACGATCCCTACTATTAAGTTCTACTGTACTTAATGATACAGATATAAACAACTGTAACATGGCTCATAGTTATCAAGTTTATCACTGTTGCGTCGAGAGAGAGGGGGGGACAATTATTTAGGTTTCAAGCATTATTCCTATTATACGAGAGCAAAAGGACCTTACATTATTTACTAATAAACTATTTCGTTATCTTTTATTTCTTGGATTACTGCAGAAACCGGATTTCAGATATAAAGACTGAAACTAACCTATACACTGTTAATGTCCTTCTAACCTAAATTACTTAATTGTTTCAATTTAGCTTTACTAATATCACATATGTTTCTAATTTTTGATTGAAAATAATTAAAAATGGGATCATAAAATAGAATTCTGTGTTTGGGCATTTGTTATAGTAAAGGAGCTTATAACTTTGTTTAATGTATGTATTGCAATTTTATTTCACAGTATTATTATTTTTTATATATTGGCAGTGAAAACCAGTAATAAGGATATTCTTACCTTTTAGGCATAGAATTAACAGAAAAGTAGTTCCGATCAGTTTTGGAACGAACATACAACAATCCATTGTTTTGTTATAAGTACTTTTGAAATTAGGCTTATTAAGAAAAAAAAACGATATACGTTTTACATAATTTCCCTTGACAAAGATGGAATATTTTTATCAATAAGAAAACCCTCTTTCGTTAAATACCACCACTTGCATAACGTCTGCATCACTAGTGCGCTCAACATGCCTGAGATCTGTGAAGAAGAACAAACCCTTCTCAACACAAATTATTCTCTGACTTTCCCATATACGTCAATACACTTCTGTCTCTGATATCATAGTAGCGCCATCTGCAGTATACTTTATAGCATGTAAAACTGATTTTCTTCAAAAAATAAATACGAATGAAACAGTAAGTGAACTTCACCTACTCCTTGCTCTGAATGATTAAAAACCTATTTGTTAACTTATGAGTAGTGTCAAATTTAAACTTAAACGTTTTGTTTATTTTTATTGAATAACTTTATTTTTATAATATTTTTGTGTCACGCTGTTCAATGATAATTTCTTAATAAAGAATTCATTATTTTTATGTCAATTTGAAAAATAGCCTCCTGATTGGAAGAATCGTAGTTTCACCTTTATTATGCAATGAAAAAAAATTGTTTATGTCGTTTGAAACACCGCAGTAGACAATTAGAGAAGCTAAACCTAAAGGCTCGTGATTGTGAAAAATATCTACACACAAGACAGCTAACATTTAAACACTTGTTTTCTATAAAAGAACAATACTAATCATAACAACACATACATTACAGTCTATATTTTAAATGTTTAAAAATAAGCTGCAAGGTTTAAGATGTAGGTTTGATATTTTAACACCACCAGCAAACCAAAAAAATAAGTTAAGACAAATAATAAATGTTTGTGCATTGATAGTTTCATGCTCAGAAGATGTGAAGGAGTTTTTAGTATCCACATACCAATGACTCCTTTATTATTCAAGTTGGCTTAGTAGATGCTTAAATCTAAAAAATAAATAGTTTGATTGTAAATACCATTCACAATATGATACAGTGTAATTCCAACATACGTTCAATGACTTATTGACATGCGTAGTCGTTTCTCTTCTACTATGCAGTATATCTGTCATTTATATACGTATCCATACTTTAAAAACAGTGTCGTTAAAAGTATGTTATTTAATAAATATGCCATTTTTATAGCTGGCATTTTTGTATACAAATACTTGAGTACTTTAACAGAAACTGTACAAGAGAAAAGCAGAACAGTTGAAAATTGTAAAGCTTTATTATCGTGAAATAAATATTAACATATATAAAAGCTTTATATATTTTTTTCGTATATTTAAATTACTAACAATGTTTTTCAAATATAGCCTTCTGTTAAAATATTTGTCATTTGTTATCACATATTGTAAGGCGTTACACGGTCAAGCACAAAACACGTTTTAGGCAATTTTTATGCACAAATGAAGCCTTTTTTACATTAAATTAGATATCCGAAAGGTGCTATTTAAATTAATATCATTTATATGTTGAAAATGGTATTTGCTAGGCCCTAGGAGCAAGAAAGACGAAAAGAAAGACGAAATATGAGTGTTGAAATTATATTCGGCTTGTGCAACTGTTTCCGAGAGGACAGTTGTTCTTAACGAAACATTATTATAAGTAAATAAATTAGAACAGACTATGCAACCGAACACTGTGAGTGTTCCAAGCCACATAATTTTTTTATGTGAACAGTGTAATATAATTTAAGCCGTTTTAGTTAAAAATCACTACTTTCAAGCCAATTTAATTAATGAAAAAAATCTTCCAAGCTCGTAAAATGTAAAAATGAACTTAGGCCTGCCAAACAAAAGCTACCTAAGACTTTTTTTTGTAAAACAATAATATTAGAGAAACTATATCATTAGATTTCTTGTAACTTTCTCTATGACAAGTGTTCCTTTTAAGTGTGTAAAATTATCTTTTATTAACTAGTAAAATAATGTGGAATAATGAGTAATATCCTCACAAGACCAACAGGAGGTTTTTCTTCTAAGAATTGGTTTAAAGGTATCCTAAAAAATGAGTTTAACAAAACAAAATAACTCATTTAACAAATGAAATATTAAAGGCACAGCCGGGGAAGATACATTTTTCACATTATTTAATATCATCTGCTATGTGTGCTCTTCCGAAGAGTAATATTGATCGACCAGTTATATCTGGTGGTAATTTACTTAATCTTTGTTAATTTATTCTCTACCGATGGTTTCTTTTGAGAGTAACATTTAAAATACTTTCAAAACTAGGAAGTGAAGTAAAGTCCCAGCAGATAGTGAAACATTCATTGTATTATTATTATTATTTTTGTAATTTACAGTTCCAAAAACTTCAAAATTATCATTTTCCATACATATATATTTTGTCTTATATACAAATGTACAAATGCTCTGGAAAACAAAGCAGCTTTATGCGATATTTAACCAAAAGTTATTGTTTCTAAGAACATAAAGAAACACAATTTTTTATATTGATCATTCCAGAATAATTACACATGCAAATAGCCATCCCGAATTTTGGATATGTAAACTGAGGGAAAGATAACTATTCATCAGCACCAACCGCCGAGTTTTTGGCTGCTTTTTCTCTTTAAATAGTGGGCTTTGACAGACAATTTTTCAGCTAGCATGGCTTCAAATTTTGGCCGTAACAGATTCACAGTCCAAGCCTGCTAATCCTTAGGCCATGGACGGCTCAAAACACAATGACGATATTTGGTTAACTTTTGTGTGTGTGTGGAGCGAACAAGTCGTTATCAGTTTTACAAAATTACCAACCTTTTATTTCAGTATCCCAAATAAAGCTGCTATACATGTTAACCTACAAGAAGAACTTTAAGGTGAGTTTGATGATAAAAAAGAGATGATGACGTTATAGTTCCACGAAGTTTAACCAGAGGTCGACTTACTAGGTCACATTGGTCAGGAGTCATAGTTCCATGAAGTGGCACCAGAAGGCGTGTTGGTAGGAGTGATGGTTCTACGAAGTGGCATCAGAGGACGTGTTGATAGGAGTGATGGTTCCACAAAGTGCCATCAGAGGGCGTATTTCTATTAGTTGATGGAATTATTAAAGTCGTATAGTTGGACCAATGAGAGTATTATTATAGTACTATTAGATGATCGTGTTGTGTTTTTAATATTTATCACATCCACTATTTTGCTTTTATAAGTAATACTGCAAGATAATTGTATTCTTAAATATTGATTAAAATTTTAATATACCTCTTCAATATTGTAGTTTATATTTAATCATATATTCTAAAAAGTTACAAGTAAATACAATTATTTGAACGAAACAGTTAGTATAGCTGTTTGTGTTTTCAGTTAACAAATAAATTGCATGTGTCACAAAAGTAAAGAATACTTTACTAATGAAAACGTTATTTTAACGAGAGAAGTATTTTATCAAGCATATGAGTAGTAAGTCCGGCATTTCACAGGCAGAAGTTGACATGCCATCATGATACATGAAGACGGAAGTTAAGGAGAGAGAGAGAGGGGAGGTGTCACCAAAGATCAAGAAGTCATAGTTTTAAGTGTTACCACCAGAGAGTGCGTTGTTAGGGACGCGTTGCTAGACCGCCATAATAAACGGCCATGATGGGTGATTACATAATAGTTCCAAAAAGTAGAGAACATGTTTCTAGGCAGCCATGACTCATGAAATGCATGTCTCATCATGTCTATAATTAATCAATAAATAATTAATTAACACTAATTACTATTAAATTTATATTTAATTCGTCTTGACGCTTAACACTAATTCATTAAATCATTTATAATTAATTTGTTTTGATGCTTAACAATAATTCATTAAATCATTTATAATTAAATCATCTTGACGCTTAACAGTAATTCATTAAATAATTTATAATTAAATCGTCATAAAAAAGGATGCTTAACGCTAATTCGTCAGTTTATTAATTCGTCCTAAAAAGGACATTACATTTCCTTATCATTAATTAGTCCTACAAGGCAATATGATAATTAAAACTTACTCATTCAGTGATTAAAGATTTTGAGTAATAAATTATTACATTTTCTGTCCTAAAAGGACTATAGCTTCCTCAATCTGACAGATAGAATACATGACTGTAGGTTCAAATTGCCCTAAAAGGGAAATATTTATACAATGATTAAAATCTATACTTTTACTAATTTGACTTTCTACAACAAAATAATTTACACGTATTACTTTATCTCATGTTTTACAAAGGCGGACTTTTATATATTACTATTTAATTACTATTATTTCAACAAATCTCTGTAAGATTTTAACAAACATGATGTGACAGTACTTCTACAAGTCATCAACGTCTATATTTAGTTATGTTAAAATCATTATTTTACATATTTTAACATCTGTACTAAAATAATAAAGGATTGACTTACTGAATCTGGTCATTTTCTAAATAACCATTGATCACCTCCAAATGCACACAAAACCTGTGAAATTATGGAGTACATTTTTAAATTTTTCATAGCTTCTTTCAGACAATGTTCTGTAGGACACTTAATGTTTCACACATCTACATAACCAATAATCGCCCTAAAGCTAAATATAATAAACGAACGAGTTACTGATTACGAATATTTAAAATACCACAACTTTCACACTGGTCATTATCACGAAACATAGAGACATACAAATTTATACATGTCATTTTTATTATAAGTTCGTAAAACTAATGAAATGTATCTGATATTAAACTAGAACATACATATAGACAGTTATTGTGACAGCACATGATCAAATGTAAAGCTTTCTTCTACATCACCTTGGAGATATTGACGTCACCAACATACAGTTTACCAAGACTGACCTATTGAAAGACACTGACCATATTAGTTAAGAAATATAGAAGTTTAAAAAAATCATGGGATTAGAATTGTCAAAACTTGATACTGTTTAACTTTATTTCAATTGCATACAATCTGGATACAGACTTTTAAGAATTACAAAGGTCACCAAGTGGTCACACACACACATAGAGTACACAAACCTACTACGGAAATACTGACGTCGTTATTGTATACACTTCAAATAACCTGAGAAGAGAGGATGGTCACAGTCCGAAGTGTTTGATATTCAAGGCCACTGACCGTTTTGGTTACGAAATTATCTAAAATTGGGAAAAAAAACCATAGGATTAGAATGACCAATTCTATTTCACAAGTTGACTAGATGATTAAAGTTTTTGATAACAAAACAATGTTTGTCATTTAACAAAACATCAGTTACTATAATAAGTTAATGATAATAAACTAATTAATATTCACTGTTATAGATCACTAATATACTCAATTAGACCGTAATTATAATACACAATATTTACAGAGTCACAAAAACTTCTGTTCATCCTGTGCTAAACGAAACCGTACGATAGCTTTCTTGAATCATGGGAGCACTTGAACACGTAGCAATAACACTGATAATATTTCTTTAGTTATCTTTTACTACAGATTTCCAATGAGAAGAAACGTAAGAGCATCTGGACTGTACACACACAACTTGCGACATACGTCGCTGCCGACGAAGTCTATCACCCAGTACCAGAGCTGGTTAGCTGGGAATGTAACACCTAAAATTATGTAACACTAATGACTCATATAAACAGTGTTTGAACAGAGACTTTATATGTCTGATATTTACCGACGTGAGTAGCTCTAGGATAATAATTCATCTCCAGAGGCTACTGGTCATAGGCATATGACCTGTCTAGACCATGTTAAATAATAGGTAGGCAAACAACATTAATCAGACTTTCCTTATGCTTATAAAATGTTATTTGCCTATCTATTGTTAGATTAGTATAACGTGCTCCTTATGCTTATAAAATGTTATTTGCCTATCTATTGTTAGATTAGTATAACGTGCTTCCTTACTTAAATAGACAATGTTTATTATAGTTAAGTTAGTATTTTTTCTTACAGTGTAACATAATAATAGAACTTGAGTTTTTCATCTTAATTGTCAACGAAATTACTATACGATTTACGAAAATTAATAAAGTTCCTTGTGGCAATAGAAATACGATAAGGTCATATCACATTATCACACAGGTCTCCCTTAAGGTACGGAGGCATAAAAACCTATATTCCATCTATGCTAAATAAAAACGTACAGTGACTTTTTGAGTTGCGAGAATGCCCGAAAACATAATTTTTATTAGCAACTGTTATTCCATTTATTCCACTCATCATCAGCTCAAATTTTCTCCACTTGTCTGTCTTCTAACTCTAGCTAAAAATACTTGAAAACAGAAGTTGAGAATATAACTTGTGTCTTACCAAGCTCTAAATCATTATCATGATAACCTTTGAGAACATGACACGCAGTTCCAGTAATCTTTAGGTTAGAAAAATCATATACTGGGACTTTCGTCTCAATTAAAACTTTACATGTCTCATGTTTTTACCATTTGCTAGTACACGTTACACCAATTTTTCCATACTTACTTACCAACTGACTTTTTGTCAGAGATTTACAATTCTCATACATGCTACCATTAACTGTCTCCCATGAACACACAATTTACAACCAGTAAAAAACAAAACAGGCAAGATGAGAACATAAAGAAAATATACTCAATTACCGACTTCACTGCTTCATGAAGTGAACTTTCTACCTCGGCTTTTGTTGATATGATTCAAATTTTAAACTTCTCATCCGTTGTTGGGTTTTGATTCCTAACGAACTGAGGAACACACACTCCTGGCACCATTATTGTAGACTGTTTAATTCTAATACTATTTTCTTACGATTGCTATACTCGCAATTCATTTTCTATTGAATTTCATTAAGGTTGTACTTGTTTCTATCAGGAATTGACTCATGTCAATTTAGATATAACAAATCAACAACACATAGAGTTAGAACAAAAATGTGTTTCTTATTGGCAGCAGATTACTTCTTCATTCGCCTCTTTCTCTCAATTTATTCGTTCCTTCTCACATCTCCCGTTCTTTTCTTTTTCTTCTATTAAACCCCTGTCTTTTATATCCATTTCTCAAAACTTATGCCAAACAAGTCGCTTTTTTTACCTTTTACACCCGTTTTGATTATAACGTTTCATAACCATAGGAGGTTCTGTTGTTTCCATAGTGCTAAAGAAGAAAATTGGCCGCCCTCTAATAATTTCCTAATGACTTATATGATGTTTGTTAATTCCAGCAACTCTGACTTCTATAACAAATAATAGAAACTTGTATTAAAATTAGTTATATTTTTGAAAAGTATGATTAAAATCTTAATTAGACGGTGTTGTGCAAAAGTGACCTAACCCACAAAATCCCCAAATCGAGTTTTCTATATTTTCTGAGCTAATAAATACTCGTCTTTCTTGTGAAAAATTACCTAAGCCCAATCCCTTTAGGCAAATAGGTATAGGTATAGGAAAATTCCAACCCACACTTGTGCTATCAATGATATCAGTTATGGAAAAGTGACCTATGTGGGTTTGAGAGACCTAATGTGTCTCATCCCAAATGACTGCAAGCCATTCTACAACTCCATCCTTCAAGGTTAGAACATCGTTGATGATGTGGTGGCTTTGACGAAGAACTGGGTTTTCTTACTGAGGACGACTAACCTTGCTCTCTTTACCTCTAATTCTATAAAAATAAGCACTAATGATTAGAAAGAAAATACTTGTTTCACCAGTTGTCTTTTTAAATAAATCTATAAAACTTGTTTAAAATTCGATGTGTATGTTATTACATTTCTTGCCATCTTTTCAAAAGTAACAGTTTTGGTAAATCTGACTTAGGCATAAGTGACCCAAGCCAATAGTTGTCATTTTTTGAATCATAATGAACAGTTTGTTGTTGTGTAAATCTTCTGTCCTAACACATACTAGTGATCTCGATTGATTAAAATTAAAACGAACATCTGGTATTCATCACTGATTTTTTGAAAGAAAGTGAAACATTTTGGTCATTTACCTCAAACTACAAATTGTGGATTAGATCACTTTTGCATAACACCGTCCATTTATGAGATATCTCATCATGTATTAAAATTGCTTGGAGAATAATTTTCATCTTGATTATTACTCATTATTGTAGTAAATAATACAATACTGATTTACGTAAAATGAAATGATGTTGTGTAATGTTAATATCCTTTTCTACAATCTTCCCTCGGTAAGTCTGAAGACTTATAACGTTAAAAACCGGGTTTCGAGAACCCATAGTGTGCACAACACAGTTAACCCATTGTGTAACTTTTGTGCTTTACAACAAACAAACACAAATCCTTTCTACATAGTACAAACAATACAAAAGGTTAGGAAAACCATCTACTGTGAGTCTCGCCTCAATTAAAACTTCACATATCTCATGTTTATTTCTTCAATTGCTACTGCATGTTTAACCTAATACTCTACATTTACTTATCAACTAACTTTTATTAAATTTATAATCAGTAAGAATTATTTTAAACGCTGTCAAACCCAGAACAGGCAAGATGAGAACAAAAGTAAATCAAATTGGAGTTGACTTTTCAACGTAATCAAGGGTAATATCATTAAACAGGAAATATTCCTATATATTTTAGATACATATTTTGTGTCATAGTGCTCTTTGGAATGAAATCAATTTTTTTTCGTGACTTCAGAGTGGTTACAATTTGTTAGATTTAACTCATAATTGTTGAGTAACGAAGAGAGATAAACCTAAAGTTCCAAACACAAAAACATAAAATTTCAAACTTGAAAAAATATCAATACAAATAATTTACTGACTTACGAATTATTATTTTTCCACCTCCACTAAAGACATTGAAGTTGTTTATCAAACTAAAAAAGCATAATATTTGCTACACTAACATTTCAAATATGGACAGTGGTTAAAATTGTATGTTACATTAGAGTCCTCTGAAATTTATTAACATTTATTAAGAAAATAAAAAGTAATCCTTACTACACATAAAAATTTATTTTTGAAAATGCCATAGGTTATATTTAACTTCATAGGAGAAATTAGCTATTAATGATCGTAATGTATAATATATTTGCACCACCTTTTAATTAATATTACGTGCTCATCTGTAAAATAAAGATTTCGGATATCTAAATGAATTAATAAGACCACCTTTGCATTATTTGGTTTACTGTGTCTTTTAGCATGTTTACGATTTACTGAAGATATAAGGTCAGTTTCATTCTGAATAAGAATGAATAGATTAATAAGTAATGTTCATACTACATTTTTGCTTCAGCTATTACACTACAATTTATTCAACAAACCAGGAAGAAAATGATTGAGATGTAAGATTAATTACAACTTTTACTTTTATATCTACATAATAGAGGTAGTTTTCTAGTTTATAAGATAAACTGATATAAATTATAGTTCACATGATCTAGTTTTATTGTAAATTTCCATTATTGAACAACACAATTGCTGTACCTTGCAAAGCGTTTCTGTTCAAAGGAGAAATATCAAAATCAGAAGCCCCTAGTGGCACAGCGGTATGTCTGCGGAATTACAACGCTAGAATCCGGGTTTCGGTACCCATGGTGGGCAGAGCACAGATATTCCATTGTGTAGCTTTGTGCTTAATTACAAAAATCCGATATTGTTTAAAAAATTAATCTTCTCACACTTAAATTAAGATAAAAAGTAATGAAATTTCTGAAGAAATCAAATACCTCTTATAAATATTTTAGAAAAATACTAAATGATTTGACTCTACAAAAGTTTCTGGAAGAAAGTTTCAGTTAATTATCGAAATAGAATTATTCTACTTTCACTGAGTACTTTTACTTTTAGTTGAGCCATGTAATATTTACTAGAAGTATTAGTTTGTCTTCTTTTGTAAGAGGCAGACAATTGGTTTCGTTGGGACTCATTGCGACTTAGCGAACATAACGGTGTGAGCAAATTTCAATTTTGTACAGAAAAAAGGAACATTTTCTTTTCTTTTTATCACCTATTAGTGAAGGATTGTCGTTTACTCTTGAAATTATGTTTAATATTCGCATAGAGAATCCATTTTTCATCACCAGTGACAATTCTGTCCAAAAATGGTTCATGCGCATTACGTGCCAGAGAAGACGAAGCAACGTTCGCACGTTTAAAACGATAATCATCGGAGAGTTCGTGAGGCACCCACACCTTCTTTATGAAGTTTCCCATATTCTTTAGATGTTTACATATTGTTTCATGAGAGACATGTAATTTCAAGACCATTTCACGAGTGTGTTGCCTTGAGTTAGACTCAACAAGCGTCTTCAGAGCATCAATATCAATTCCAACATGTAGACCCCTGTCATCACAGTTTTTAAGGCTAAAGTCACCTGAACAAAATTTACTGAACCATCGTTGACATTT